CCAATTTCAAGATTTACTTTTGCTTTGCTCCCACGCTCTCTCGAAACAGCACCAGTGTTATCCTATCACCCAGCAGTCGCGACCCCTTGGACCACCTGTTCCAGTTCACATGCAATCCACTCCCCTCTCGCCTATCTCACTGTTGTCTCATGCCCTTATGTTTCTTCGCAGGGGACTTACGGGCCCTGAAGCTTCTCTTACATACCCCATCATTGAGACTGTGGGCAATGATGGTAATGCAGTCAGAAATTATGAACCCCTCCTTTCTAAGACTTTAAGGGACTTGAAGGATGCTGTTTCTCAATATGGCCCAACTGCTCCCTACACTTTAACGATCTTGGATAACCTTTGCATTGTAGCCCTCCGTCCGGGTGATTGGGGTCATCTTGCTATGGCTTGTCTTTCTGGTGGTGATTTTTTGCTGTGAAAAGCTTATTACAAGGATGCAGCTTTTGATCAATCAATTCAAAACTGCCTCCTGCAGTCCCCAGTGACTCTAGACATGCTTTTGGGGAGAGGAGCACATTCAGAATTATGTGACCAGCTAAACTACCCTAATGAGGCTTATATGCAGATTACCTCCTTGGCAATGCATGCCTGGAGACAACTGCCTTCATCCGGTGTTAGAACGGAGGAGCTTGCTAAAATTCATCAGGGACCTGACGAGCCTTTTCAGGAGTTCGTCTCGCGCCTCGTCTAGGCTGTTACACGCCAGGTTGGTAATGATGAGGCTAGCTCCCTTTTGGCAAAGCAATTGGCTTTTGAAAATGCTAATACGGCATGCCAGGCAGCCATGAGGCCCTTTAAACGTAAAGGCACCTTAACTGATTATATTCGCCTCTGCGCTATCAGACCTGCTTATCAACAAGGTTTTGCTCTAGCAGCTGCCCAGGCTGGTATGACTGTTGCAGCTTTTCTGAAGCAGAGGCCTACTCAGCCTAGACCACCTCTTAAATGCTTTCATTGTGGCAGTCTGGGGCACGTAGCTAGACAGTGCCAAGCTCCTTCTATCCCTCAGTCTCAGTTGCTGGCTTTGCCGGCACCTTCTGACCCATTGCTGCCCAACCCCAGGTTCGCCAACCAGGGCAATGCCCTCGTTGTCGCCATGGTATCCATTGGGCCAATGAGTGCCGCTCTAAGCACGATGACCAGGGCGATCCTCTTCCCCCGAGGTCAGGAAACTCCCGGGGGGGTGGTCCTGGCCCCCTCAAAACATCGGGACACCCTTTTTGCAGGCCCCTGACCTGATGTCGAACGCAAATCCATTTCTAAACTCTTCAGAACAACACCAACAGGCACCAGATTTGACCTCTGTCCCACTGCCCAACAGGTACTGACACCTAACATGGGACCCCAAACTATTCCTACGGGTTTTTTTGGCCCCCTTCCCTCGGGATATATCGGTCTTATTTTAGGTCATAGTGGCTGTTCCTTAAGAGTTTTACATGTACTTCCTGGAGTTGTTGATGCTGAAGAAATTAAGGTGTTTGCCCGGTCACCCACAGGTCTTTTCACACTGAGTCCTGAATTGTCCTTTGCTCAACTGCTTCTCATTCCTGTTGATACCTCAGCTGACTCTGAATTGTCGACTAAAGTTATGGGTAGCCAAGGTTCTGAGCCTTCCTCTTCTTATGCTTACTGGGTTCAGGCTATTTCATCTACCAGACCTGAACTTACCATTTAAATTAATGGCAAAACATTTAAAGGCCTCCTGGACACAGGGGCCGATGTGTCTGTAATTTCTAATGAATATTGGCCTTCTCAATGGCTTACAACTACTGCCATGACTTCTTTACAAGGCATAGGAATGACTAACAATCCTATGCAATCTGCAAGTTTATTAACATGGACTGATGATGAGGGTCACTCAGGCTCCTTTTGCCCCTATGTAATTCCTGGTATCCCACTCAATCTTTGGGGCCGTGATGTTTTAGAAGCCATGGGGGCTCGACTGGTGACTAATCCCATTGCTCTCGACATTATGACTAAACAGGGCTACTTGCCTGGCAAGGGCTTGGGAAAACTTTGCAGGGAGATCCTGAGCCTCTTGCCCTTCACCAGAAAACTGACCATTCTGGCCTAGGATATTTTTCCAACGGGTCACCGTGATTCCTGATTCCCATGCTGATAAAATTACTTGGTTATCAGATACACTGATTTGGGTAGAGCAGTGGCCCCTTTCTGCTGAAAAAATTACAGCGGCTCGCGAGTTGGTTGGGGAACAACTCTCTGCGGGTCACATTAGACCTACAAACAGCCCTTGGAATTCTCCTATTTTTGTCATCAAAAAGCGCTCTGGTAAATGGAGGCTTCTGCAGGATTTAAGAAAGGTTAATGCAACTATGGAAGTCATGGGTCCCTTACAACCAGGTCTGCCTTCGCCTGTTGTTGTGCCTCAGACTTGGAAACTGTTGGTGATCTGAAAGACTGATTCTTTTCCATTCCTTTGCATCCCTCAGATTGTCATCGTTTTGCCTTTAGCATACCATCCACTAATTTCGATTGACCATATGAGCAGTATGAGTGGATTGTGTTGCCTCAAGGTAGGGCTAATAGCCTCACCTTGTGTCAGACTTTTGTATCTAAAGCTATTCAGCCTGTCGCCAACAATTCCCTGACATTCAACTGTTGCATTATATGGATGACCTTCTCTTAGCTGCTTCAACTGAGACCCTTCTTTATCAAGCCTTTGAATGTTTGCAAACCTGTTTGACAAAAAATAACCTTGTTATTGCACCAGACAAGGTTCAGACTACCACTCCCTACCATTACTTGGGAAGGCTTATTTAATCTAACCAAGTTTCCTTTAAGACTCCTATTCTCTCCACAGCAAATTTAACTACATTGCATGACTTTCAGAAATTTTTAGGAGATATTAACTGGATTCACCCAAGTTTGAAACTTACCACAGGACAATTGAAGCCCTTATTTGACATTCTCAAAGGACCCTCTAATCCAGCTTCTTCTCGTTCTTTGACAGCTCCTGCCAAGGTGGCTTTACAATTAGTTCATGATGCCTTGTCCCAGCAAAAACTTTCTCGTATTAAGGACAACTCCCGGTGGTGTTATTGTATTCTTCCTACTGTTTATACTCCCACTGGGGTTTTTTGGCAACAGGGTATCCTGGAGGGGTTTCATCTCCCTGCCAGTCGTGGGAAAGTTGTAACCCCTTACTTTGAACTAGTTTCTGTCTTAGTAGCTAAGGGTCATGTACGGGCTCTTTCCATTTTTTAATCACACATAAGGTTACAAAATACTAAAAGATACTCTAGCCATGAAAGATGACTCCAAGCGTTTAAAAGATGTTTATTTTAAAGTAAAATCTTCCCATGTTAAGTTTGATAGCTGTGCTCCTGCCTAGTAATACTTGACAGTGGAGGAACATGGAAGGAGGCATAGAGGTCACCCAGCCTGGGGGCTCTGCCCAGCCCCGCCACTTGTTCTGTGCACACATATATATACCTGTTTGTCCAAGAACCCTTTACCTTCTGGGTCAGCTAAGTCCCATATAAGCAGAAACACAAAAATGCTCAAAAGCATGACTGCTAATCTTTGCTCGTGTGTTAACAAAAACAAGAGCCGCCACCACCACACCACTAGCCTTGCAAACCAAGGGCCTTGCGGGGCAGGAGCAACTGTTTCAAAGCTGCACTGCAGATGAATAGGCCAATTTAGAGCAGGTGAATGATCTGTCCAGGGGCACACAACCAGTCGGTGGCAGGACCCAGAGCACATCAAGGTGCACTCAGCTCCCAAACCAGTGGTTTTTATGACATCCTTATTTCCCCAACAAACATCTGTAAGCTGTCAAGAACCCAAAAGTTCTCAGGTCTCTTCTCTGCTACCCAAGTAGTGAGGGCTACCACCTGGGCATTTATATCCAACAATTACTATCTGAGAGGTCTGCAGTTACCAGGCCAATCACTAAAAGGCCTGGCCCCTTGGAAAATAATCTTCACAGGCTGGCTCTGACCTGCCAGGCAGAGCTGTGAGGGAGACCACAGGAAAAAAAACTAGTTATCTTCACCTACCTTCCTGAGGATAATGTCTGAAAGGCCAGACTTCTTTAGAAAAAATACAGCTTCACCTGCCCCCACTCTCCCTGCATATGTCAGATCTACCTGAGATGGTTGAGCAAGAGGTGGGATAACTGTTCAGCAAATGCAGCACCTCTCTCCCCAGGAGGACTGTTCTGGAAGGAGCACCTCCCTGGGCCCTCCAGCAGGCCAGAAACTTTCCCTCCAGCACCATCCATACATGGGGAGTTTTGCTTCATCAAACACATGGCTGGGGGCTCGGCGCTCAGCTCCAGACCTGCCCGGCTGTGGCTGTAAGGTTTTCTCACACCGCCCCCCTCTCAGGACCATGGCCCTTTCTGATGCCGGCTTGTAAGGTCTCAACCACCTCCCTGTCCTGCCTGTTGGAATGCAGGACAGGTCTGTGTCCCCATCAACAGGGAGGTCTGTGGAGACAGGGCCGAGTCTCAGTCACCTTTCAGCACCCACCCCCAGGAGCTTGCTGGAAGCTCTGACCCCGACACCAGTGCCCTCCCAGTCCCAGGGCCAGTGCTCAGGTGGGACTCAGACCTGGCAGGCGGGTCACGGTCAGGGACAGCTCCCGTTATGTGCCAGCAGAGGGCGCTTCCAGGGAGGCACCTCACCTTCCGCGGCACCCCAAGCAAGGGACCAGAGGTTCTGTCCCAGCACCACCCGAGCCTCGAAGAGACTCGGGGCAGCCCCTCAGGCCCCTGCCACCCAGCTGGGGTCCCACCTTTCCTCATCGCTCTGCTCTCCTCCCCACCCAGCCCAGCCCCACTGACTTGGCTACTCAGGAGCCGAGGCTCCCAGGAGGCTCACAGGGGAAGGAGCCCTGCCTGGTGCAGGCAGGTGCCGCGAGCTGGCCCCAGAAGACCCCACCAGCTCCTCCACGCAGCCTGCCCCGGCTCCCAGTAACCTGAGGCACGTTGCTGAGGCCGAGTCTTCAGAAACAGGAGCCCTCACCTGAGAGCCCGGGGCTGGAGCTCCTGCCTAGATCCTTGGCGACTGCTCCTCCCTTTATCTTCTGCAGCCTGGGAAGTGGACGGCTCTCAGTGTGCCCACTACCAGGTGGCATGGGCAGAGGACGGGGCCTGACGGGGGAGAAGAAAGCAGCCAGGAGAAGGGGCTTGGCAAGCCAAGGGGCAGGAGGGCAGGATGGTGCAGGCTGCGCTCAGTCACCGGGTCACGTAGGCCCATCCTGCCGGTGGGCACGGCGGCCCTCCTTTGCGTGTGCAGAGCTGGTATCCTCTGGGGGGCTCCCCATCACCAAGGCTCTAATCCCAGAGCCTCACTGCTGGGGAGGTGGGGGTAGCAAGAGACTGCGTGCCTCAGGCTGGGCTCGGTCACCCACCCCACCCGCAGCCCAGGTTTCCCCCCAGTAATGCCATAATTGGGTGGGATTTTTGCTGCAAGGCAAAGTCCAGAGGAGCACAAACACGCTCCCTCCCCTCCCCCTCCCTGCCCCCACCGCGGCTTCATTCCAGAGCTCTTCCCTCCTTCCCTCAGAGGGTAGGGGCCTGCAGTACCTCGGAGAAGTGGGTGGGTGGCTGGGCATGCGTAGAGGGAACTGGATTCCCCAGGCAGTGAGGAGCAAAAGGAACTTTTCTTCAGAGAGAACGGCTGTCATTCTGAATTCAGGAAGGGACCCCTGAAATAGTCACCAGGCGACCCCCAGGCGGGTTTCCCCAGGATCACAGCTTCCCTCTGCAGATGCAGAACCAGCTGTGAGTGGGGCACACCGTGGAAAGTGCCTGCCTCAGTCCCCCAGCCAGTGACACAGCTGGGGACAGAAATCTCAGCCACCCTGGCCCTGAGAAGCTGCACAAAAGCAGCCCCATGTCCTCCCTGCCTCTCCACGCACCTCCCTCCCGCAACACACACTCTGCAGCCGCACTCAAGGCCTGGCCCACGGGCTGGGTAGTGCAGGATCCCCAGAGAACACAGCACTGACGAGTGCGGGGCTGCTTCTAGTTCTCAGAAGTTCCTGGAGCCTCCTCGCCCAATACCTATGCGGTAACCAAGATACCTGCTGAGATTAGGTCACAGAGTGACTGCGGGAGGACCAGCCACGGTGGAAGAGTGCCTCGTAACCACCCCTGTTATCAGGTGCGGGGGATGGGGAACTGGGGACACTTCCCCTCCTTAAATTACAATCTCCCCTGGCGGCTCCCGGGCTGCACAGGGATATGCAAATGACTGGGAGCTGGAGAGTTGGTTGGTCACTGGTGACTTTGGGCAAGTCACTTTCCCGCTCTGGTCTTCCCCTCTCTATCAGCAGACTCCTCCGGCTGACCTCAATAATCAGAAATCCCTCTGGTTGAAGAGGCTGCGTAGCCCGGGCACACCTGGAGGTCGGTGGTCCCAGAACCCGGAGCAGCGCTGCGCTTCCCCACAGACCCAGAGCGCCAGGGACTTCCCTGGTGGAGTGATGGGGAGAAAAATGGAGGGGTCAATCCCTGTGTCACACAGTCCCACTCGCCCCCAACTGTGATTCAGAGGCGCGTGGCTGCACCTTGGAGGTCCACCCGGCGGCTGTCCTCACTGCAGGCTGCTCCCCTCCCCGCCCCTCTCTATCCACCGCACGCGCTGGCAGCCTGGTCTCAGGGGAAGGAGTCCGGCCGCAGGCAGACGGGGCCAAAGGATGTGCACCCGACAAACGCTGGCTCGCGCCCCAACCCTGCGCCCCGGCAGGGTGATGGATGAAGGGAAGCCCTAGCCCAGCCACTTCCAGGCCAACAGAAGAAGCTCACCATAGATCAGGGGCGGGAGGGGGACTGCATGTCCCACGGTGAGCGCAGGGCTCGCGGGGCTGGAAACGAAGACGCTGCCCGGGAGTCCTGAGGGGCGCGGTCCTGGAGCTCCAGGAGGGCGCCTGCGGACCGCGCAGCCCGGGGCCGGCCGCCTGGCCATCTGGCGCACCCCAGCGCCCCGCGCACACCTGGGAGCCCGCACACCGGCACGCCCTTGGACAACCCCGCACCCACAGCCGCGGGAGGGGGCCAAAGCCGCCGCCGCCGCCGCCGCTCGGGTTCCCAGGGCCCCGCCCGCCCTGCCCGGGCCCTGGCCTCAACGGGCGCCCCCCGCGGCGCTGCCCCGCCCCCGCCGCCCAGCGCCGCCCGGGGCCTCGGCTGGCAGCCCGGCCGCCGGCCCACCTGGCGCAGCGCCGCCCTCGGAGCCCGCGCACCCGCGGCCTCAGGAGAGCCCAGAGACCCCGCCGCGCCAGCTCACAGGACGGACTCCAGACCCTCCGCGCGGCGATGGCCCCGCTCGATACTTCTTACTCCTCTGCAGCCTGAAGCAGGTTCTGGGCAGCTACCCGATCTGGTGGTGAGTGAGGCTCCTCGCGTTCGCCCCTGCCCCGGTGCGCAGCGCCCGCAGCAGACAGCCCGTCGGGCAGGGACCCCGCGGTGGTCCGAGCCCGCGCCCTCCTGCTCCCGCCCCGCATACCGACCGCCCGCGGTTGGTTTTCCTGGACCGCCACGTTGGACCTGTTCAGGCCAGGCTGGGACGCGTGGGTGTCGGGGCTTCCGGAGGCAGTGATTCCCGGGTGGGGGTGGGGGAGCTTGCGGAGAAGGTCCCAGCTGCCCCTGGCGTCGGACTGGGCGAGCAGTAGTGGGCTGGGGAGAGGCGGAAAGAAGGTCTGCACGCGCGGTCGCCGAGGCCAGGGGACAGGCTAGGAAAGAGGGCCAGAAAGAGGGAATTCGCTGGAGACATTCCTCAAAAACCGTATCTTACACACAAACACACACACGTTTTTAAAAAAAAAGTCGGTAAGACAAGACTGAGCAGCTCAGAGCCGCACGGTTACGTGAAGAAAGCTGGGACCCGGCAGGGAGTGGCGCAGAGCCAGCGGCTGGGGGCACTGGGGACCGGCTCTGGGCCCCGCGCGCCTCCCCGCCGCAGTCCGGGCGCGGGGATTTCCAGGGCCCCTCTCTGCCAGCCCTCCGCCTGGGTCCGCCTGGCAAGGAGGGGCTGCTGTAGAGAGAGGTAAGGGGAAGCTCAGCACCAAGTGTGAGGGGCTCCAGGACCCTCAGTCAGAAAGCGCTGTGCTGCGCCCTCCACGCCGGAAAAGGGGCGTTCTGTGAGTCCCTCCCTAGCCACGTGATGGAAGTGCGGATAAATCAAAGGAAGGGTCCCCAAAGGTCTCTCCCAGGCCTGCAGCCTCCACCGCACACATCATGTGGAAAGGGGAACGGAGGCCACACTTTCCTAAGTGCTTGTGATCCCTCAGAGCCCTCACCAAGCAAGGGTCACCCCAGTTGCGAATTAAGGGCGCTCTGAGATGCCCAAGATTGAGGAACACAAGTGGGAGGACTGTGGGCGCTCAGAGCCAGGCGCAGCGCTGTAGGACCCGCAGTTGGAGAGAAGCCTCCCCACAAGCATGCACACTCCCCCCAGCCTTCTCCGACGGCAGCCTGGAATTATAATAATTACGCCGAGGGGACTGGGGGAGACCCAGCGAGCTGAGGTACATCTAATCCGATAATAATTTTTCTCTTAGAGATGGTTCAGGAGCCGGGGCTCCCGCCGTAGAGGCGCCGGGCCAGGAGCACCCGGGTGGGGAAGGGGGCAGCCCTAGGCGGCAGAAGGGCCTCTCCGCGGGAACGCGCTTCAGGGCCCCCCCCGCGCGCGCGCGCGCCCGGACTTCCGCGTGCCCGTTTCCCGTGCAACACCTGAGGCGCCCGGTTGCCTACCTGAGCTCCAGGCTCCGGGCGCGCCTTGGTGCGCGCGGATACTGACGCGCGTCCACGGCCGCAGGGGACCAGGGCAGCGCGTCCGCCTGAGAGAGGCTTCTAATGGAGAAATGCCAGATGCCGGCGAAGGGGAGGAAGGCAGCAAATCACACTGCCATGTGTGTACCTATGCAACTATCTTGCATGTTCTGCACATGTACCCCAAAACCTAAAATGCAATGAAAATATATATTTTTTTTAAAAAAAGAAGAACCTGCCGGCACGTTCCTGAGCGCAAAAGGAAGCGCCTTCGCCCCCGCGCCCTTCCCATCAATGTCACCAGCCTCCTGTCAACCCTGCGCCCTAGGATCCTTGTCTTGTCTGCCCTGAGGGTTTCTAGCCTCCGTCCCCACCCACCTCATACCCATGTACACCTCGCTTTCAGCCCGGCCCCCTGTGTTCCGCTCTTAATACACCCTGAGACACCCTCGGGACAGTCAGACATTCTTCAGGGGAGCCAGGAGGAGCAGAGACGTGAAGTCCCTGGACTTTCTCTGCCTTCTCATCAAGAGACCAGAACAGCCCTTTGGCCACACAGGGAAGGGTGGCCTGGAACCCCACCTGACACTGATGTGGGTGGGTGGTGAGGACCCCTCCCCTGTCCCCACCCCCACTTTGTTCTCAGTAGGGTTCTCACTCTTGGGGATTCTCTACTTCCTGAGAAGCAGCATCTTCTTCAGGGAGACTGGCTCCCTGGGGATGAGACTGCCCCCTTCTTGATCCCCTCTCTGCCCCCAGGCAGGCTCTGGGGCATGAGCAAGGACTTGCCTTCCCCAGAGGGGGGCACGCGTGAGTAGCACACAGGCACCCCAGGGAGGAAGACTCACAGGACACAGCCTCTGGACCCCTGCTGCTGACGGCCTGCAGTTTAATAGCGGAAGATTCTTTTCCTTCCTCTGCATCTTCTACCCAGCACAGAGTCTCCTTTCTCCTGCCTCCTCACATCCACCCCTGATTAAGCATGACCGGAGAGGAGGGGGACCTTGGCCCCTGCCAGGTGGACTGCTGGTGAGCCCCAGTGCAGCGGAGCCGGCTGGGGTGGGGGCTTCTAACTCCTCACCTGCGCCCCCAGCCCCTCCCTAATACGCACTGCTGGCCCCTTCGATTCTCAGGGCTCCACCATCCCTGACACACAAAAGTGAAAGTGAAGGGGAATCTCCTCACCTGGAAAAACAAACCAGGAAACAGCCCAAATCAGAGTAATTAGGCTTTTGAAGTCAGCAGAGGGAGAGGCAAAGGTGTCGCTGTGGCCAGCAGCCCTGCGAGAATGTGAAGGGCCACCTGCCTCCCCAGGGCCAGTGGCCCAGAGGTGTCTTACACCACGCAGCAGATGCCAGTGGTCCCAAGGCCCAGCGGGTCTTAAATGCAGAGAGGTGGGCCTGGCCTGAGACCGAATGGCCCAGAGCTGTGCAGATGTCCAGGAGAGTTCCTTCTGAGCTCATCCGGTGACAAAGAGCCAGGCAGAGGACCAGACAGGCCTGAACACCTGACCACCTGCATCCCATTAGGCCACAGACGGCAGGGACGCAGTGGCCCCCACCTCCCTGCACGCCCCCTCCAAGCTGAGTTCTTGAGAACCAGAATTCACAGACGAGCCCACGTGGACAGAGACAAGGCAGTTGAGCTGCAAGACCACAACCCCATCTGAGGATAATCCCCGTCACCCGCCCTCCATTGTGCTCCCAGCACCTCTCCCTCCTTCTTCCTATGTCTGGGTTAATGGCATCTTGTTATCTCCCCAGGGACTCTGCCAGGACCCTAGAGGTCTGCCTGTGCCACCTGACACCGCCTCCCCAGGGTCCAAGCCCACTTCGGGGTTGGGGACTGGATGTTGTTCATCTTTCAAGTCCCCCTGCGGCCGTCACCAGACTGGGCTGTGGCAGTCCCGCCATGGCTGCCTCCCGATTCCGTTCTCAGTGGTGGCCACACTCTCTCCCCTGGGACCCACACCCTCCCCACCACCTGGAGTTGCTGCCAGGCCTGGTCATGGCCACCACCACGGCCTGGCCGACCAAGGCAAGCTCTGTTCCTCACCCACGCCCGCTGTCCCTCTCAGGCCCTTCCCTCTGCCGGGCCTCACCAGCTCCTGCTGCACAGTGGGCTCCTGAGCATGGAGGCCTGGCCGCCCGCAGATGGCCACCCCAGCTGTCCCAGGGAAGCATGGTGTGAGCTGTGCCCAGCCTTTTCCCTACCTCTGGCCTGCTCCACAGCCTGGATCATGCTCCCTCCAGGGTCCCCTCACATCCCTCTGGGCCTCAAGCTTGTAAAACACATCGTGACCCCCATTTTTATTGGGTCCCTCATGCAGCCCTCAGCAGAACATCTTTGCCCTTTCAGGCCCCCACTCCCCTGCACACTTATGGGTGCCAACAACCTGGGCACAGGGCTCAGCCCCTCCTCCCACCCCTTAATGGGTTGGAGGGCCGGCACCCCTGGAGGCCCTGCTCAGAGGCATCCACACCCCTGACCAGGCACCTGGCCAGTGTCCTCAGTCCGGGTGGGCCTCACTGCAGTGGGAGACAGCCTGACTGGAACATGGGACAGGTGAAGAGCAGCTCAGGGTGGGTAGGAGCCAGGAGGGGGTACAGAGAGGGAATGAACCCGGCTGGAATGATGGGGCAGGCAGAGGTGTAGAGCAGGCAGGTAGGGGGCTGCAGTACGGATGTTTCGGGGACTGAGAGGGGCCAGTTGGGCAGGGAAGGGACATGGCCCAGGGTACCCCGAAGCTGAGATGGGAAGGGCCTTGTCACAGGAGGGATGGGAGCCACTCTGCCTCCACATTAGCCTGAGACGTGCGCTCCTTCCCAGGCCTGGCCTCACCCCTTCTTCCTTCTCCCTTCCCCTTCATCTGTCTGTGTGTCTGTCTCTGCTGCTCTCTTGCCTGTCTCTGTCTCTCCATATCTCCATACCTTTGTCTCTCAGTCTCTCCCTGTCCATCTCTCTCTCTTCCTTGTCTCTGTCTGCTCATCTGTATCTCTAGCTCTCTGTATCTGTCTCTGCATTTGTCACTCTTTGTCCCTCTCTCCCTGCCTGTCTCTGTCACTCTATCTCTTTTCATCTCTGTCTCTCTGTCTCTTGTGGTCTCTGCCTCTCTGTCTCTGTGCCTCTGGCCCTGAGGACAGCAGTCATTAGCAAATAAAACTCATGAAATAAGCTGAGTGGAGCCAATAGGCCAGCTCTTCTAGAGCTGTGGGCTCAGGTACCTGGGGGTGGCATTGTCCCTCAGAGCTGCCTACACCCCTCCTGAGGGTAATGACCAGGAGTGGCCACATGTCAACTGTCTGCAACCAGACATCGGCCCTGGGTGACCACCAGGGTCTGTAGCCACTGCAGCACCTTTCCGGAGCTGAGCGCAAAGCTCCTCCTGCCTGGGGCTCACACCACAGGTACTGACTGACTTGGGCCCTCGAGGCTGGCTGCCCCTCCAACCCCCCAGGGCTTGTTCTAAGGGTGTTTGCTTGGCATAGGCCTCCTGGAATCCTCTGTGGGGGGTGAGCACATACAATCGTGGAGCCCAGTCTTAGGGGTGGTGACCGCTGGGGGCCGCTTCTTCCCCCGGGTCCCTTGCGCCTGTCGCCGGCCCTCAGGGAGGGA